AACACACCTTCCCCGCACCCACTCTGATCATTGTCCTATTAAAGTTGAACTACAACATTGCTCCTTGCCAAGGAAAAGAATTTTCCGGTTAGAAACTATATGGACTACACATCCTTCCTTCACTAAAGTAATTGAACAAGTTTGGTTGGATAAAATACACTTACTTCCAGCTATTGATCAATTTGCGGAAGATATCCAAGTTTGGAATAAAAATAGTTTTGGGAATATTTTTAAGCGTAAAAAGAAGATATTGGCCAGACTAGGTGGTCTTCAAGCTTCCATTCACTATCCTACTAGTATTTTTTTACAAAATTTAGAGACAAGATTAACGTCAGAATATAATGAAATACTCTGACTAGAGGAGGATTTCTGGAAGTTAAAATCTCGCATTAACTGGTTGAATAATGGTGATGCAAATATTAAATTTTTCTACCTCACGACACTAAATCGTAGAAGGCATAATCGTATCACTGCACTTCAAGATTTAGTTGGGAATTGAATTACTGATCCTTACAAAATTTGTGATAATATTACTCAATATTATCATCATCTGGTTACCACTCAAAATAGTAAATCTAGTAGTGTCACCTTAGTACATACTTATAATGTATTAATTGATAAAGAGCAATCTTGTTTGATAGCTCCAGTACAGGATCATGAAATCCTTACTGTTGTTCACTCTTTTCAACCTCTTAAGGCACCTGGACCGGATGGTCTTCATCCGTTGTTTTATCAAAAAATATTGGCATATCATAGGGAACTCTGTAAAATATTTTTGTCATAAAGCTTTCCTGGGCCATCACATTGACCCTACTATAAACTCATCCTTCATTTGCTTAATCCCTAAAAATAAGAATGCATCCACTATTGCACAATTTCGACCTATTATCCTTTGCAATACTATCTATAAGATTATAACAAAGATGATTGTTAATAGGTTAAAACCAGTTTTGGAACACCTTACCTAAGGCCATCTCTTTTAATAAAGCAGCATCCTTCAAGAACTTGGTCCAATATTCTTAAGGGTTGGTCACATTGTCGTTTGGATTATAAATGGAACATAATTAATGGTAAACATGTTCTTTTTTGGAATGAAACTTGGCTAACTCAAAATTCATTAGTTCGTAATTATATTTCAGGACCCCCACCTCAAGGTGGGGATAAAAAGCTAGTGTCTGACTACTATGTAAATCAAAAATGGCACCTTCATAAACTACCATTTTATTACCTTCATCTTTAAATGAAATCAATGATCTTTATCTCGCGAAGTTGCCCACTGGATATGACCAACTTTATTGGTCACTTACTCATAATGGGAAATTCTCTGTGAAGTCTATGTATCATGCCCTTATAACGGAATTCAATCACACAAATAGTAATAATTACTTCAATTACAAGTGAATTTGGAAGCTCAAGATACCACCTAAAATCTCCTTTTTCTTATGGTTATTATGTCATGGTAGACTTCCTACGACTGTCTATCTAAATAGGTGAGGAATTATTACTTCACCCTTGTGTACTCAATGTCATTTGGTCCCTGAAACTATAAATCATATTTTCTTTGAATGTCATAACGCAAAGGCAATTTGGACTGCTCTAAATATTTCACCACTACACCTTCTTAATCCAACAAATATTGAGAGTAATTCTTGGTGGTATAAGTTTATACATGAACAAAGGGTACCCTCTTTTAAACGCATTCCACTTTCTATCCTACTACCTTTTGCTTTGTGGCAGTTATGGGTTATACGAAGCAAAAATCATTTTGAAGGGCACCAAATGCAATCCAGCATTTCGCTACTCTACAAACAGGCTGCTGAATCCTACTACCTTACAAACTAAACAGATACATTCTGAATTACTACCTCTTTATATAAAATGGCATCCACCAATTGGGCAATTTTTTAAGTTAAACATTGATGGTTCCTCATCAACCACTCATCATAACTGTGGCATTGGAGGGTTGTTTCGTAATCAACAGTGTAAATGGATTCTAGGGTTTGCAGGGAGAGCAAAAAATGGTCCCAGTATTCAGGCAGAATTGTTGGCTCTTTTTAAGGGGCTACAAATTGCTATCCAGCACCAACTCACACCACTAATCATCGAAACAGATGCAACTGCAATACTTGGTATGGTAAATACACCTATTATGCAATACACTAATTTAATCAATGATTGCAGGTCATTACTCTAACAGCTGGATAATCCAAAATTGCAAACCGTCTACAGAGAACAAAACTATGTTGCTGACTGTCTAGCTAAATATGGAGCAGTACAAGTGGAAGATAGTTGTGTGCTTTTTGATTCTCCTCCAACTTTTTTCAACCCTTTTTATAAACAAGATCAGGCTGGAATGCTCAGGCAAAGACTACTTAAATCAAGTACTGTGTTATGTAATAGTAGTTCCCTAGCTAGTATTGTATCTAGTAGTAGTAATATTGTATTAGGTAATCACCCTGGTGTGTATGTAAATCGCCCCCATAAAGGGGGATTAGTAGTTAGTTTAGTTGTCGTCAGCTGATGCATCTCATGCATCCTACTACAAACTCTCATGTAAACTTTCAAGTATCTATGAAATGTTTATCTTTTCTACCAAAAAAAAAAAGAAGGGACATCGTGGGTGTGAAAGAAAGTAAATGACAATAATAATGAATGACATAAATATGATATATTTAATTTTCTGCACACTTTTTAGATATCAAATAAGGGGAAAACCCCAAAAAAATGAGAAAAAAAGATAAAGGAGATTCTTGGCATATGAGAGTGCCACATCAGCTTTACTATTCTCAATTTTATATATATATATATATATATATATATATATATATA